TGTGACTCAATTAGCACATCTTCAGAGTCACCAAAGAATCCACATCTATTTTCTAACTGAACGTGCATATGGACATTGGGTATATTTTCCTTAAAAGCATTAACAGTCAAAGTTCTTAAGAATCTAAAGTTTACTAGGAGACATGAAAATAACATCTCCCAAATAGCCCCATCACTACTTTTTCAAGATTCTTCCTAAAACAAAATGAGGGGGCCCTCAGGACCCATGTGGACATTGTGCTGTTATGTCCCTCGTATCCCCTAGACCTGACTGTGAGGGTCATCCTCCTCTTTCCCCAGTGTCCTGCTCTGGAGGGCAGCTGTCATAGGCTCCACCCCTTGGGGACTCCTCAGCCCCCAAGGTGAGCACACAAAGCCTTCAGGTACCAAACACTTTACTGTTAATCACTACAGGGAAGCAGACTGAGGGTACCCATGCAAAGGTCCCCAAACTCCTAAAATCTGCCTGTTCTCTGATATTTAGTCCTAACATCATCTGATACTGAAAGCCTTCGTGGACTTCTTGCTCTCTTCTTTTACTTCTGAGGGTGACCAGCTCTGTTTAGCATCTACAGGCAAGGCCAAAAATGTATCACAAAGGCCACAGGCTGGTCATGGTGTATTGCAGAGAAGTGAGTCATTACCACCCCTTTCCAGGTAAACTTGCACGAAGGAACATCCAGCTATATTCACGTCCTTGTCCCCTCACTGCTATGAGGTCACCTTCTTCTTCCTGTGTTGCTGGGCTAAGCTCAGTCACTGGAGACTAAGGTATAGGAGGAAAGCCCCTCCCCGTGAGGGATAGAAGACAGAGAGAATTCCTAGTTATCTCCCTCCTTGTTATGTGAGTAAGGACATGATCCTTTTGGAACCACATGTACTTTCCTGTATTCTGAAGGGAAGGCAAACCCTGTGGGAAGAGGGTATGGATGTATCTGGAGAAAGGCACCCAACCAGGATTAGTGTCCTAAGAGGAGGCAGGTCTCAGAGGGGAAGCAGAAGGCAAGGAAATATGTCCTCTTCCATTCTGAACTTCAAGTAATCCATGTTAAAAAGGGTACCCTGGAGAAACAATCACGTCCTTACATGTCCATGATGGGGGCGAGGCCTAGAGGTGGAAGAAGTCTCATGGCAGAACATAACCTGCATCGAGGAAGCAGCCAGACTGTCCATACACACACGCGACAGGACCTGTGCTCACTTCTCCATGTACTTCCCCATCTCAGATGTATCGCAGGGAACTCACACAGGTGTGTCTGCACTTGCAGCAGACGTCAAGGCCAGCCAAAGGAGAAAAGCATCACGGCAGGGCTAGGGAGATTCTCCTGCTGCTCAATTTTTATTTAGGTAACAGGAACAACCTCAGCACTCTTGACCTATGTTCTCACTCTCATCTCACCCCTTCCAAACTCACAAGCCATGAGACACAAACTTACAAGACACGCAGCGGGTAATGCCCAAGCTTCAACAAGCCTCCAAGTGACACAGAAAAAGTCTCTTATTAGATCATAAGATGTAAGAAAATGTTAAAAATCTACTCGCTGTTATTTTACATAAATATAAACTTCAACAAATGCTGACACCCCAATAAGGCGAGAAAATCAGCAAGATT